CAAGTCCTGGCTCTGTTGTCCAGTCTAGCTTTCCGTAAACCCACAGCCTCGGGAGCACCAGTGATGGCTCAAGTAGTTGGGACCCGCCTCCCACGAGGGAGACCCGGATTAAGTTTTGGGATCCTGGCTTCAGCCTGGCTCAACCCTGGCTGCTATGGGTATTTGGGGGAGTGAACCAAATGGATAGGAGATCTGTTTTTGATCTGTGTTTTTGTTTTTCTCTCTATGAGTTTCAAAGAAAGTTAATTAATTAAAAATATATGTGGGGGCCGGTGCTATGGTGTAAACCACTGCCTGCAGTGCAGGCATCCCAGTTCGAGTCCCAGCTGCTCCACTTCAGTTCCAGCTCCCTGATATTGCACCTGGGAAAAGCAGCAGAAGGTGGCCCAAATGCTAGTGCCCCTGCGCTCACATGGGAGACCCAGAAGAAGCTCCTGGCTCCTGGCTTCGGATTGGCACAGCTTTGGCCATTGCAGCCATCTGGGGAATGAACCATCAGATGGAAGACCTCTCTCTCTCTTTCTCTCTCTGCCTCTGCCTCTGCCTTTCAAATAAAAATATAAATCTTAAAAAAATGTACATTAAAGACACTGATGTTAAGTGTTTTTTCTTGTACCAAAACAAAAAAAAAAGCATTTCTGCTTTCTCTCTATAAAGAAGATGATATTCTTGATGGTCTCTAAGCAGTATTGTTTGACTTCTCAGATCTTGGATTCTCAAGGTGTATGCTTATGAAGGACTTCTTAGGAATGGAGCTTTGTTTGCCCTCAAGTTTTCTCTATCAACTGCATGCTGCACAAAGCAAGCAGTTTCACGAGGGGCTTAAAAGATAGTAGACTGTGTCTATGCTGAAAGGTTAAAAAGTCAAAAAGCAATCCAACGATTGTTCAGAAAATCTTCCAAAATAATGTGAATCATTTTGATATTTCAAAATATTAATTTTTCACTCCCCATCAGAACCGCAGGGGCTGGACAGACTTCTCTGAGCTGTTTTGGCTTTGCATTTCCTTAGGCAAATGCTAATAACTGTTTCACCAGTTACAACTCATTTATTGCATCAGTCACAGCAAGACTTGGGAAGGGCCTGAAGGCAAAACAACACACTAGGATTTTTCATTTCATTTCATTTTTTCATAAATATTTATTATATTTTTTGGGAAGGTAGAGTAACAGAAAGAGAAAGAGAAAGGGAGAGTTAGAGAGATCTTCCTTCCACTAGTTCATTCCCCAAATGGCTGCAATGGCCAGAGCTGGGCCAGGCTGAAGCCAGGAGCCAGGAGCTTCATCAGGGTCTTCCACATGGGTGCAGGGGCCAAAGCACTTGGGACACCTTCTGTTGCTTTCCCAGGAGCATTAGCAGGGAGCTGGATCAGAAGTGGAGCAGCCGGGTCTTGAACCAGCGCCCATATGGGATGCCCATGTCACAGGCTGCATGTTATACCACAGCACTGGTTGCTGTTCATTTCATCTTAATCCTTAAAAGGTTTAAGACAAGGCTCACAAATGTCAGTGTGTTCTTGGTTCTCTTTCCCTGCCACCTTCTTCTGTTCTCACCTTGACTGCTCTCTTCTTAGCTCCTTCCCGGGAATCATAACAGCTGTCGTGTGGGAATGGCCACGTGACCCAGTCCCCTCATGCAGAGTGTGTGCCTATGCTGACAACACTGGGAGAGGAGGGTTCTGTCCAGGGCCCTTGGGATCCGGACCCGGACCACTTTTGCAGCGGGGCCTTGATCCTCTCTGGTTGTGCGCTTTTTCTGTTTGTTCTCAACTCAGATCCAATACAGCTCACTCCACGTGTGTGTTCCTGCAGAAGGATCTGGGGAACTTAGAAGTGGAGCAAAGGGGCCAGCACCGTGGCTCACTTGGTTGGTCCTCCGCCTGCAGCGCTGGCATCATATATGGGTGCCAGGTTCTAGTCCCGGTTGCTCCTCTTCCAGTCCAGCTTTCTGCTGTGGCCCAGGAGGGCAGTGGAGGATGGCCCAAGTCCTTGGGCCCTGCACCTACATGGGAGACCAGGAGGAAGCGCCTGGCTCCTGGCTTCGGATCAATGTGGCTCCGGCCGTGGTGGCCATTTGGGGGGGTGAACCAACGGAAGGAAGACCTTTCTCTCTGTCTCTCTCTCTCACTGTCAAATAAAAAAAAAAAAAAAAAAAAAAAAAAAAAAAAAAGTGGAGCAGAGCCAGAAAACGCAGGGGTCTTGTAGTCTATAGTCTAGCACTTGCATTTATCTTAAATACCATGGAAACTGTATTAGCTGTCACTGTAATCAAGTTCCATCATAAACAAGTCCCAAATATCAACTAAACACACACACATACACGTGAGTGAGTGACTGGAGTCTCCGAAGATCGCAGCAATAAAGCCTTCTCACCTCCTTCCGCACAGCCCTTGTTGCCACGCATGGTGCACTCTTCAGTGTTAAACTGCTTGAATCACATTTGGTTCCTAAGCACAGAAACACAACCTTTGTACCCATGTTCTCAGGTCACAGAGAACTTCCACACGTCATCACCTGACACAGGGCACTCCAGTTGATGCAGGAAAGAGAAATGTTGCCAAAAAAAAAAAAAAAAAAAAAAAAAAAAAACTGTGTGACAAACTGAAGTTTTGCAACGAAATGTTTAAAAGATAATTTAAGGTTTTCTTCTACCCTAGTGAGATTGCCGATGTCAGGCCAATAAGAACTCATCTGTTAAGTATAAATATATCCATGCAATGTTTGGAACCTGGAATTACTGAAAAATTGTCATTTAAGCGGCCGGCACCGCAGCTCACTAGGCTAATCCTCCGCCTTGCGGCACCGGCACACTGGGTTCTAGTCCCGGTCGGGGCACCAGATTCTGTCCCAGTTGCCCCTCTTCTAGGCCAGCCCTCTGCTGTGGCCAGGGAGTGCAGTGGAGGATGGCCCAAGTGCTTGGGCCCTGCACCCCATGGGAGACCAGGAGAAGCACCTGGCTCCTGGCTCCTGCCATCGGATCGGCGCAGTGCACCGGCCGCAGCACGCCGGCAGTGGCGGCCATTGGAGGGTGAACCAACGGCAAAGGAAGACCTTTCGCTCTGTCTCTCTCTCTCACTGTTTACTCTGCCTGTCAAAAAAAAAAAAAAAAAGAAAAAGAAAAATTGTCATTTATATGAAATTCAAAAATTTAGCTAGGAATTCTGTATTCTACCTAGCAACTCTTAACAAAGAGCAAGGAAAATCTGTTTTCTGCCTAGATTTTCTAGCAAGTAATTATTTCAGCAGAGAACACCAGGCAGGTCTCCTTTTTAAAGAAAAAAAATCTGGTAAGTAATTTAACAAAACCAAGATTCCTCTGTAAAACAATCGCTCTTGTCCTAAAGCATACAATTTTTGCACATGTGTATTTGTGTGTAATTTGTTCCTCCAAATATTCTGTATCTTTAAAAACATAAATTTAAAAAAAGGAAGAAGGAGTCATTCTTGCTCAGGTTGGCCTCAGACAACACAGGAACACACATTCATAAAAAAGCTGCGGGCAGCAAAACCAGCCATGAACTTGAATTATCATCAAGATGAAGACAAAGGCATTAAAGCAAATGAGGAAGAAAAACTGCCTTGCCCAGACATCATTTTAATCAACCAGACTAGGACTGGCTCCGTGCTACCTTGTTCTGTAGAGGCGACATCTCAGGCTCTCACTTTGTTCTTGGCGGAGGGTATAATAGCTACGTGACACGGGCCTAGAGGGGTGACGTCAGGGGACTCAGAAGTTGTGACACTGCATTGACATGAGAACCAGACGGGCCAAGCATGAGGAAGAAACCTGGAGTCGTGTGCAGACTGAACTTCCCAGCACAGACAGCGGAGGGACCACTGGCAGAGGCCACGTCTCTCACCCTTCCAAGTGGCCCTGACATCTTTCTCAGAAAAAAACTTTTTTTTTGACAGGCAGAGTGGACAGTGAGAGAGAGAGACAGAGAAAGGTTTTCCTTTTGCCATTGGTTCACCCTCCAAAGGCCGCTGCGGCCGGCACACCACGCTGATCCGAAGGCAGGAGCTTCTCCTGGTCTCCCATGGGGATGCAGGGCCCAAGTACTTGGGCCATCCTCCACTGCACTCCCTGGCCACAGCAGAGAGCTGGCCTGGAAGAGGAGCAACCGGGACAGAATCCGGCGCCCCGACCGGGACTAGAACCTGGTGTGCCGGCGCCGCAAGGCAGAGGATTAGCCTAGTGAGCCGCGGCACCGGCCCAGAAACCAGCTTTCTATGCTGAGTTAGCCGCGTGTGATCCCCAGTGTCTGGCAGGCTCTTATATCCAGATGAATCGCTGCTTGCACTGAAAACTACGATCACAAAATCCTATAAGCAGAACTGACTTGGGGAAGGAAAAAGTGGGGTCACATTCACCTCGGACCTGCACTGTGTTTAGAAAAAAGACAGGAGTGATAATGTCTTGGCAGCCCATCCTAGGGAAAGTATGAGTGCCTCGCGGGCATGAGCAGGGGCCGGTCCCCTCCCTGGGGACTGCAGGGTGTGTGTTCTCACAAATAGTACAAGCGCCCGTACTGTTTGCAAGCTGCTGGAGGTCATCAGTATTCTTTCCAAATTATCACAGTGCGACTTTATTTTCCCAGGACACCCTTGTTTAGAGAGGCTGCTCCCTAATTGTTTGCATCTGTTTAGGACGTGAGGCTTATGCTTGACCAACAGGCACAAGCAGAGGGCAGGTCACTTATTAGAGATAAAACCAGAGCAGGGGGAAAGTCTCACAATATTTGGGATTCAGATATCTTCTCCACGCAACAATGCGAGACGGAAAGGGCTCTTGGTTCACCACAGTAGCACTCGGGGAACCGAAGCTCTGCCGCTATTTCTGATCCAGTTAATTATTTTCATAACTAAGCAGATAAATCAAGCACCGCCTCTTCCTTCTTTAGTTGGCGCTCTTTTTACGTTCTCTGAAGTTCGAATGTGGCTGTTCACCAGAAACAGAATATGATCATGAAATTAATCAAAAAAAGGGATCTCACACTCACCATGAACTTGGCCACACGCTAACTCCCATGAGAGGTGAAAAAGAGAAAGCAGAATCGTCCACGTAGAGCTTGCACTCTACAAAAGAGAAATAATTACACTGTAAATGAGTGCATGGCACGTGCCTACGTGGACACGGACAGCGTCATGAGAACACACAAAAGGGAAACTTTAGCTTTTCCAGCAGAGGCAGCCTCTGAGGCTTGAGAAGGAGGCATGACTTCACTTGGTGGATCCGGGGCAAAACCAAAGTTCCAAGTGTGCGTTTGTTCAACTTCTGCTAATGTGCACCCGTGGAGGCAGCAGGCACCCTCCACCTACCTGGGAGACCCAGGCTGAGTTCTTAGCTCCTGCTTCAGCTGGCCCAGCCCCGACTCCTGTGGCCACCTGGGGAGAAAGAGAAGAAATCTCAGTCTCTCTCTCTCTGCCTTTCAAATAAATGAAAATGAAACAAAAATTTCAAAGCTGGAAAGTGTTTCTAGAAGGAACGACCAAGAGTGTCACAGTCGGTGACAAGTCCTGTGGGAAATCCTCACTGATTGACTGGTGGGAAGCTCACTGATCAGCAGAGAGGCGGAAGCTGGAGTGAAGCGGGCTAAGTCCAGGAAGGTAAGGAAATGGAGGCTTCCGGGACAGCCAGTTCTTCCGACTCCAGAGCGGTTCAGCAGTGAAGGGAAGGTGACTGCTCAGGCCCGACTCCCAGGGAAATGAAGGACCGAATGAGGATTAGTTTGTTTTTAATTGGATGTGCTTGAACATGGTTAGAAACCGATGGGAGAATAATTCGGAGAAAGGAGGGCTGTGTTTAAGAAAGAAGTCGGGACCAGCACTATGGCACAGCGGGTAAAGCTGCTGCCTGCAGTGTCAGCCTCCCATATGGGCGCTGGTTGGAGTCCCAGCTGCTCACTTCCAGTCCAGCTCTCTGTTATGGCCTGGGAAAGCAGTAGAAGATGGCCCAAGTGCTTGGGCCCCTGCACTTGTGTGGGAGACCCAGAAGAAGCTCCTGGCTTCAGATCAGCGCAAGTCCAGCTGTTGTGGCCAATTGGGGAGTGAATCAGCAAATGGAAGACTTCCCCCACCCCTCTCTCTCTGCCTTTCCTTCTCTCTCTGTGTAACTCTTTCGAGTAAAGTAATAAATCTTTATAAGAAAGAAAGGCGGGGCCAGTGCCATGGCTCACTAGGGTAATCCTCCGCCTTGCGGCACCAGCACACTGGGTTCTAGTCCCAGTTGGGGCGCCGGATTCTGTCCTGGTTGCCCCTCTTCCAGGCCAGCTCTCTGCTATGGCCAGGGAGTGCAGTGGAGGATGGCCCAAGTCCTTGGGCCCTGCACCCGCATGGGATACCAGGAGAAGCACCTGGCTCCTGACTTCGGATCATTGGAGGGTGAACCAACGGCAAAAGGAAGACCTTTCTCTCTGTCTCTCTCTCACTGTCCACTCTGCCTGTCAAAAAAAAGGAAGGAAGGAAGGAAGGAAGGAAGGAAGGAAGGAAGGAAGGAAGGAAGGAAGGAAGGAAGGAAGGAAGGAAGGAAGGAAGGAAGGAAGGAAGGAAAAGGAAAGGAAGGAAGGCAAAGTCACCAACAGGTGAGGTTCCCAGTGGGGGAAGAGGACAAGTGACCCAGAGCCCAGGTGGGCACGTCTGTACCTCAGGGGACGACAAGACGGTGTCACATGAGTGGTCCCAAGAAAAAGAGGCCATTCTCAGCCAGGGGTTTCTGCTTGCTCCATGGAATTAGGAAGTATGTCAGTGACGTGGGGTTAAGGTAGACAAGAGGGAAGAAGGGGCAGGTTAATGCTTACTATGCAGGCATTTCTTTGCACATCCACTCAGCACAGCCATCAGAGGGAACACTCTCACCCCTCCAGCTTCAGACAAGTTTCTGAGGTCTGGGTAAAGCCAAGTCTTCAGTAACAAAACTGACAGTAAAGTCAAGTCTGTGCCGCCCAGTGATGAGTGTGCGCATCATTTTTATAAATTATATAAACGAGGGTCAGTACTGTGGCTCGGCAGGTTAAACCACAGCCTGGAACACCAGCACCTCAGGCTGGGAGCACCAGTTCCACCCCTGGCTGCTCCACTTCCAATCCAGCTTCCTGCTAATGTGCCTGGGAAGGCAGTAGGTGAAGGACCAAGGGCTTGGGCCCCTTATGGGACATAGGATAGGGTTCCGGGCTCCTGGCTCACCTCTGGATATTGCAGCCATTTGGGGAGTGAACCAGTGGATGAAAAATCTCTCTTTCTCTCTCTCTCTCTCTGTTGCTCTGCATTTCAAATAAATAAATAATAAAAATAAATTACATAGGCCGGAGCCGTGGCTCACTAGGCTAATCCTCCACCTGCGGCGGCGGCACCCCAGGTTCTAGTCCCTGTTGGGGAGTCGGATTTTGTCCTGGTTGCTCCTCTTCCAGTCCAGCTCTCTGCTGTGGCCTGGGAGTACAGTGGAGGATGGCCCAAGTGCTTGGGCCCTGCACCTGCATGGGAGACCAGGAGGCAGCACCTGGCTCCTGACTTCGGATCGGCGCAACGCACCAGCCGTAGTGGCCATCTGGGGGGTGAACCAACGGAAAAGGAAGACCTTTCTCTCTGTTTCTCTCTCTCACTGTCTAACTCTGCCTGTCAAAAAAATAAAAATAAATAAATAAATTACATGAGCTGCTGCCACTGGCAGCCACTCCAAACATTCAAATTTAATCAGTATAAGGATCAATAGATTGTTTAAATAAATAAATAAAATAAAATAAGCAAAATAATGGCTTTGTCTTTGGGGCCTGGCTGAAAAAGCCTTAGGCCATCACAAATATTTTAAAAGTATCATAAACAACCACCCTCCCCATAAATCTAACATACATCAGAGTGTATACCTTGCAAAGCAATATCATGTAAGTCTATTACCCAGTGGTGATTGATCATCTGCTTACCCCAAACTCATCTAAATGCCAATCCAAGTTGCATCCTGAAAGCAGGTTTGGTTCTAAAAATAGGAGGGGGAGGGGTCAAAAAGCCAGTGCACTAGTGCTCCGGAATGTTTAATTACTCCTCATGAACATACTCAAGATCAGAATGGGAGTGAGTGTTGGGCAGTGGGCATCAGAGCAGCCACAGGAGCTGAGGAAGATGTCAAGGTGACAGGGCCGGCGCTGTGGCGTAGCGGGTAAAGCCACCGCCTGCAATGCCAGCACCCCATATGGGCGCCAGTCTGAGTCCTGGCTGCTCCACTTCCTATCCAGCTCTCTGCTGTGACCTGGGAAAGCAGTAGAAGACGGCCCAAGTGCTTGGGCCCCTGCACCCACGTGGGAGACCCAGAAGAAGCTCCTGGCTCCTGGCTTCAGATTGGCCCAGCTCTGGCCACTGTGGCCATCTGGAGAGTGATCCAGCAGATAGAAGACCTCTCTCTCTCTCTCTCTCTGCATTTCTGTAACTCTGCCTTTCAAATAAATAAATATTAAAAAAAAAATCAATGTGAGACTTAGAAAGGAAGTTCCAGGAGCGGAGGGGAGTGCTGCCTACCAATTTTTTATTAAAGCAATCATATGTTATTTTTAATTACAATGATGTTTTAGGGGCCTGGTGTTGTAGTGTAGCAGGCTAAGCCACTCCTTGGGATGCCCACATCCTATCACAGAGCACTGGTTCAAGTCCCAGTTACTCCACTTCCGATCCAGCTCCCTGTGAATGCACCTGGGAAAGCAGCAGCAGATGACCCAAGTGCTTGAGCCCCTGCACCCACGTGGGAGACCCAGAAGAATCTCCTGGCTTTGGCCTGGTCCTGCCCTGGCCTTTGCAGCCATTTGGGGAGTAAACCAGCAGACAAAAGACCACCTTTTCTCTCTCTCTCTCTCTCTCTGTGTCTCCCCAACTCCCCAACCCCTCCTATCTCTGTCTTTCAAATAAGATCAATCTTTAACAAAAAAAAAAAATCCTCACATCTTTACGATTCCTTCTTGCTTGGATTTTAGTCTATCCTCCTACACCTGACCTTTTCACACGTCTTTCCCTCTGAAAAACACCTCAACACCATTTTTCAGAGATCCAAGACTACTCATTTTCCCTTCTGACGGACAGTGAGTTCCTAAGTTTTCCCAACCACAAACAATGCTGCAGGGAGCATCACTTTCACTTCTCTCTGTGCACATGAAAGAGGACTTCTCGTAAACTCTTTGGACTGAAGACATCTCTATACTCTTTTTTTTTTTTTTTTTTTTTTGACAGGCAGAGTGGACAGTGAGAGAGAGAGACAGAGAGAAAGGACTTCCTTTACCGTTGGTTCACCTTCCAATGGCCAGCGCACCGCGCTGATCCGATGGCAGGAGCCAGGTGCTTCTCCTGGTCTCCCATGGGGTGCAGGGCCCAAGCACCTGGGCCATCCTCCACTGCACTCCCGGGCCACAGCAGAGAGCTGGCCTGGAAAAGGGGCAACCGGGACAGAATCCGGCACCCCGACCCGGACTAGAACCCGGGGGACAAGGCGGAGGATTAGCCTAGTGAGCCGCGGTGCTGGCCTCTACACTCTTATTAAACAGCACTTAGGACTCCAAAGAACTTCTGCTTGTGTGAGTTTTATCTGAGTTTTATCTCATTAGAAATTAATTCAGAAACGTTTACAGCACAAGAGTTCAGAGCACAGAGCACATTAACCATCGCAGCAGTGGCACGTGATGGAGGGAATGAGAGTGCCCAAATCAGACAACTGCACGGGATTATGAGAGAGAGTGCCTTTATTTTTTTATTATTACTTGAGATGCAGATATAGAGAGGGGGACAGGGACAGAAAGAGCTCTCGCATTCACTGGCTCATTCCCCAGCTGCCTGTAGAGCCAGCGCTGAGCCAGGGACCAGAACACAGGCAGTCAGATACAGTTTACGATGTTCCCCGTGTGAGCTGCATTTTCCTAGCTCTAAGGAGGGGTGTGTGTGTGTGTGTGTGTGTGTGTGTGTGTGTGTGATGGGTACGGTTATCCCTGCTACCTTGCTAGGTCTCCAAGGCCTTTACCCGACACGGCAGTGTGCTCAGAACACGCGTTTCCTTACAACAGGGGGATTGGCTCTGCTGTTACCGTGGCAGAAATGAGACGACACCTGCCTTTTAACATTGGCATTGTCACTGTATTTCTATTTGGCTTAAACATAGTTCTAGCCCCCCCACCCCAAACAGCACAAAGATCTGTGAACACGTCCCATTTACAACCCTGCCTAGTGTATCCACTGTGCTTGCCCAGAATTGTAGTCCTAAATGCTTCTAGCTCCTGAACTTGGCTTGCATTAGTCAACGCGCGCGCACGTGTGTGTGTGTGTGTGTGTGTGTGTGTGTTTACTACAAAATTTTCTGTACAGCGTTCTTAGAAGTATCTTCCAGTTCACTGCACTTCTCCTTGGCTGTGGTCAACCTCTTACTTTAACACATTCATTGAGTCTTGTATTCCACTGACTCTATTTTTCATTCCTGTTTTTCTTTATGTATCTGTTCTTTTCTCAGTGTAACCTATTCTACTTCTAGAACATTTTTTATTTATTTGAAGGGCAGGGGAGAGAGAGAGAGAGAGATCTTCCATTTGCTGCTTCACTCCCCAAATGGCCACAACAGCCAGGTGGCCCAGGCCAAAGCCAGGAGGCAGGACGCTCTCTAGGTCTCCCACATGAGGGCAGGGACACAGGGACACAGCACTCGTGTCACCTCTCTGCTGCCTTCCCAGGCACATGTGCAGGAAGCTGGAGCAGCAGCCAGGACTTGAACCGGCACCCCCGTATTCACCAGAGGTCACACACATCAGTGTGAACAGTTAACACCACCATGCCAGGCCCTCTTTTTTATATTTGTCAGAATTTACTTTACAAATTTAATCTTTTCAAAAATTCTTTATTGTTTCTACCTGATAATTTCATTTTTTAAAGTCCGGGGAGTGTAACTGCTTTTTCATTTGCCCAGTGAATTTTCACTTTGGTGGCTCTGACTTTGTTATTTCTAGAATTCCTGTGTGGCTTGGATTGACGTGAGTCCCTCCAGGAAACTTTACATTTACTTATAGGAGGCGCTCCAGGAGTACTTACAGCTCAGAATCAAATTCTACATTACTATTTGGGTTAATTCATAGACCAAATACATAAAGTAAATGTGAACACCCAGAGAATTCTATGAATGAACACAGCTTTGTTCCTAACAGCTAAAAACCGGAAACAACCCAAATGTCTATTAACTAGAGAACAAACACACTGTGATATGTGTGAAGAAGAGGAATACTCTCTAGTAATAAAAAGTAACAAACGGGCCGGCGCTGCGGTGCAGCGGGTAAAAGCCCTGGCCTGAAGCACCGCCATCCCATATGGGCGCTGGTTCTAGTCCCGGCTGCTTCACTTCCAATCCAACTCTCTGCTGTGGCCTGGGATAGCAGTAGAAGATGGCTCAAGTCCTTGAACCCTTCACCCACGTGGGAGACCTGGAAGAAGCTCCTGGCTCCTGGCTTTGGATCGGTGCAGCTCTGGCCGTTGTGGCCATCTGGGGAGTGAACCAGTGGATGGAAGACCTCTCTCTCTGTCTCTACCTCTCTCTGTAACTCTTTCAAATAAATAAAAAGAAATCTTAAAAAAAAAAAAAAACAAACTGATCAAAATGCAGACACAGGTGCCATCCAAACAACATGAAAAGCTACACACTGCAGGATTCCATTTCTGTGGCTGGGTCACTCCCCAGATGGCCACAATGGCTGGAGCTGGGCCCATCCGAAGCCAGGAGCTTCTTCCAGGTCTCCCACGCAGGTGCAGGGGCCCAAGCACTTGGGCCATCTTCTACTGCTTTCCCAGGCCATAACAGAGAGCTGGACTGGAAGAGGAGCAGCTGGACCAGAACTGGAGTCCACATGGGATGCTGGCGCTTCAGGCAGAGGCTTAGCCCACTGTGCCACGGCACCCTCCCCCATGCTTCTCCTTAAAGTCTATTTATTTACTTGAAAGGCACAGTGACGGGGGTGGGGAGGGGGGTTACAGAGAGAGAGAGAGAGATCGGGAGGGGGAATACAGAGAGAGAGAGAGAGAGAGAGAGAGAGAGAGATCGGAGGGGGAATACAGAGAGAGAAAGAGAAAGATCATTCATCCACTGGTTTCCCCAAACGGCCTCAATGGTCGGGATTGGATGGAAGCCAGGAACTCAGATCTCCATCCAGGTCTCCAACATAAAGGAGCAGGGGCCCAAGCACTCGGGCCATCTTCCCCTACTTTAGGGAGCTAGGTCAGACGCAGAGCAGCCCAGCACTCAAACCAGCGCTCAGATATGGGATACTGGTGTCATACATGGCGGCTTAACCCGCTGCACTACCATGCCAGTCCCAGTCCCCAAACTCCCTAATTTAATGTCATGTCCTTCAATATCTAGTTTTCACCTCCTTTCTCAGTCCCAGCTGCTGCTCACTCCCTCAAGCCCTAGCCAAGTGCCTTCGGACATCAGCAGCCCTTTGAACCCCAGAGTCCGGCTCCCGGGAATACTGCCTGCGCCTTGCGTCCCCTTGGCCTAGAGCGTCTCTGGCATCATTCAAGCGTCAACTCAAGAGGCCATTAACTCCGACACCTCTCCTAACCTCCCAGAACCCTGCCCCAGGCAGCACAGTGTCCCTCTGAACTCCACGGGACGTACGCCAAATGCCACAGGGGGCCTTTTCGTCCCGTCTCCTCTAGACTGTGAGATCCCAGAGGGAGGGGGCACTCTGTCTGATTTATCTCTACATTCTTAATGCCTTGCAGAGCCCCTGACCCACAGTAAATATTCTGCTGACTCATCTGTATCAATTGGCATTCATGCGATTTAAGAAAGACTAAGCTCTTGAGTCTCTCCCAGATCCAAAATCTTCAGCCAAGGGTGGAACGAATTCCGCCTAGAACTAACTAGGCAGGCAAATAGGCCTCTTCTTTCCCCGTCCATGGGCCCTACAATGCAGACAGTACTGTGTACCTCTGCACATCTATGCCCCTTGCAGCTTCGGTCTATTTTTTTTTTTTTTTTAGAAAGCATAGGGATAAGTGTACATTATCCTCTCTCAGGGCAAATGGCACTTTAGCTTGGCCAAGTTTAATGTCCATATAAAAATCAGAAATGCCACAAATTGAGGCAGCTAGAAACATCTCTCATCGCTCCTTCAGGCTCTGCCTGCCATTTGCATCCACATCCCCTCTGCCCATCTGCATCTGGCCACTTTCAATCTATCCGGAAACCTCGTCCTCCGTGGAATACGTGAATCAGAACTAATTACAGCAATAACTAAAATGGTCCTGCGAACGCACGCGCTGCACAACAAGGATACTTCCATGGGGTTACTTAGCCGTAGCAGGCCGGGCCTCTTAATGTGCAGTGCCTGGCTTCCCCCGCACACACACTTCAGAAAATGTAAGCCTGTATCACAGTAATGCAGGGCCAGGAAGCCCAGAGAAAGAGGGGAACAAAGGCATCTCCTCGCGAATAGGTTTTAAAACAAGCCACTAATGGGAGTAAGGGACGTTCGAGGCTCATTTCGGAGCAGCCAGCAGGGCAGAGGCCGGCTCAGTGTGATGGCTGGTGCTCTCTCGCTGATGCTCCGACGCCTGTGTTCTGCTTCTGTTCAGAGAAGGCTCCTGCAGCAGAGCTGAGAGCACCAGGCTGGGCTGGGCTGGGTGCCCAGGCCACCGGGACGTGCCATTCTCAGAGCAGGAAGGAAGGGACCAGGCCATCCCCGGAGCTCTCACGGCTCCCGCTCTTGGAAGAGAAAAGGAAATGGTGGGGGGTGGGGGTGGGGGTGCCACCACCTGCAACACTGGCATCGTGCATGAGCGCTGGGGCAGTGGAGGCTGCTCCAGTTCCAACCCAACACCCTGCTGTTGTGCCTGGAAAAGCAGCAGAACGTGGTCCAAGTACTTGGTTCTCTGTCACCCACGTGGGAGACCAGGATGGAGCTCCAGGCTCCTGGCTTCAGCCTGGCCCAGCCCAGGCCATTGCAGCCATTTTAGGGAGTGAATCGGCGGATGGAAGATCTCTCCCTCTCTGTTGCTCTGCCTTTCAAATTAATAAGGAAAAAATAACCTGGATTGTTGAAAACTACTTGTTTCCCAACAACTGTTAAAGTTGTAGTAGATAAATGATGACTTTGCTATGTGCCTGAAAGTCAAGTTCTAATCCAGACAACCTACATTTCAGAAAATTTTTTAAGTTTTTTTTTATTTGGAAGTCAGAGTTACAGAGAAAAAGGGAAAGAGACAGAAAGAGAGAGAGAGATCTTCCATCTGCTGATTCACTCCCCAGCCAGCTCTAGGCAAGCTGAAGCCAGGAGCTTCTTCCTGGTCTTCCATATGGATGGCAGGGTCCCAAGTACTTGGGTCATCTTCTGCTGCTCTTCCCAGGCCACCAGTAGGAAGCTGGATTGGAAGCAGAGCAGCTGAGACACTAGCCGGTACCCGTAGGGGATGTCAGCATTGCAGGCTGTGGCTTTACCCACTGTACCATAACACCGGCCCCCAGAAAAATTTTTTTAAAGATTTATCTATTTATTTGAAGGGCAGAATTACAGAAAGGCAGAGGCAGAGAGAAAGAGAGATCGATCTTCCATCCACTGGTTCACTCTCCAAATGGCCACAACAGCCAGAGCTGAGCTAATCTGAAGCCAGGAGCCAGGAGCTTCTTCCAGGTCTCCCATGTGGGAACAGGGGCCTAAGCACTTGGTTTATCCTCTGCTGCTTTCCCAGACCATTAGCAGAAAGCTGGAACAGAAGTGAAGCAGCCAGGACTTGAACCCATGCCCATATGGGCCACTGATACTACAGGCAGTAGCTTTACCTGCTACACCACAGTGCTGGCCCCCAGAAAATTCTTAACACTTAGATGTCTTCAGGGACTGAGGATCACGTCATTTAAAAGGGATCAGAATTGGCTCCAAGGTTCATGGACACAATGGGGAGACCATGGTAGATTGCAGGACAAACCTTCAGACAGTCCACTGTCTAGTTGGAACATACAGCTCCTGCACTCAGGTGTTTGAGTATAGGGAGAATGACCTCTCTATGCATTCATTCAGCAAACACCTACTGAGTGAGTACCTACTAAGTGTAGGAAGTTTGTTTGTTTAAGATATATCTATTTGTTTGAAAGTCAGAGCTACACAGAAAGAGCAAGAGACAGAGAGATCTCCCATCTGCTGGTTCACTCCCCAGATGGCCACAACAGCCAGGGCTGGGCCAAGCCAAAGCCAGGAGCCAGGAGCTTCTTCCGGGTCTCCCAAGTGGGTGCAGGGGCCCAAGCACTTGGGCCATCTTCGCTGCTTTCCCAAGCCATCATCAGGGAGCTGGATCAGAAACGGAGCAGCCAGAACACAAACCAGCAGCCCCCATATGGGATACCAGCATCACAGGTGGCAGCTTTACCCACTATGCCACAACACCAGCCCCTAGGCAGTACTCTCAGTACTTCGCCAAGCACAAAAGTTGAATGGATTATGACTCTTGGCCTAAGCAAGTACACAGTCCACCAGAAAAATGGTTGCACCAAGTCCCTGCCCCAGTTCTCGGTGAATCCAGTCCACAATGGGGTTTATCAACCTATACCATAAAGACAGTGTATTTGCAATGATATTTATAAACACTGGCAGCCATTTCTAAGATCTTGAAATAATTCTGTTATCTACCAAATTAGCATCAGTGCTAAGTGTGTAGAATGTTACAAAAAGTATTTCAACTATGACAGTTGATGTCAAGAGCTCAAATCAAATATAAGTGTAGGTCTGAGTTGAAAACCTTTGATGTAACAATTCTGTGGTTACAGAAAAAAATACTCAGGGCCAGTTCTGCTTTGAATAGGTTGAGCAGCTTTAAACTGAAACATTTCTTCACTGGCTTGTGGTTAACCAATTAATTTACTGTTTCAGAAACTGAAGCTGAGCTTTCCAGTGGTCATGACCTTCCCATGAGAACATGCTTCTTGCAAAGGATCTCCTTCACCCCGTCCAGGGCAGGAGGACCGGAAAGACGAGAAGGACCCGAGCAGAGCCCCAGTGCCCACCTCAGGGTCGTGCAGTGCCCAGGATGCTATGAAATCACCACGCTCATCATTCACGCACAGTCTTGGTGTTGGCTGCCGGCCCACAGAGGAAACAGGGAGGGCTAGGAAGGATGTGAGGGATGCTCCTCCAGGAAGCAGCACCCCAGTACCCCGAGTCAAGACAGGGGAGAGAGCATCCCAGTAAACACGTTTTGAACCCAAGAGTGGCACTTTGAACAGCTCATTGAAAATAGGATCTGGGCCTGCACTGTGGCGGAGTGGGTAAAGCCTCCACCTGCAGTGCAGGCATCCCATATGGGTGCCGGTTCAAGTCCCAGCTGCTCCACTTCCGATCGAGCTCTCTGCTATGGCCTGGGAAAGCAGTAGAAGATGGCCCAAGTCCTTGTGCCCTTGCACCCATGTGGGAGACCCAGAGAAGCCCCTGGCTCCTGGCTTCAGATCAGCCCAGCTCTGGCTGTTGCAGCCATTTGGGGATTGAACCAGCAGATGGAAGATCAATCAATCAATCGATCGATCTCTCTCTCTCTCTCTCTCTGCCTTTCCTTCTCTCTGTGTAACTCTGACTTTCAAATAAATAAATTTTTTAAGATGGACAGACCAATACACACACATGTGCATTTATATATGTGATGATGGCACACACTGTATATATGTATTAATGAATTATTGGAGGGGCTCACTTGGTTAATCCTCCACCTGCGGTGACGGCATCCCATATGGATGCCGGTTCTAGTCCCGGTTGCCCTCTTCCAGTCCAGCTCTCTGCTGTGGCCCGGGAGTGCAGTGGAGGATGGCCCAAGTCCTTGGGCCCTGCACCCGCATGGGAGACCAGGAGAAGCACCTGGCTCCTGGCTTCAGATCAGCGCGGCGCGCCAGCCTCAACATGCTAGCCACGGTGGCCATTAGAGGGTGAACCAATAGCAAAAGGAAGACCTTTCTCTCTGTCTCTCTCTCACTGTCCACTCTGCCTGTCAAAAAAAAAAAAAATGCATTACTGGAAGTCACCTGTACTCTGACATGCTTTTTTATCTGGGAGAAAATGCTCCAGGTCCCAGGGTACATGTCAGTACAATGTCAGTTTGCACTGAAAATAACATTATCACAGACACCTTGATATGACCAATCTAAAGACAAATTTCTTTTTTTTTTTCATAGTTATTTATTTGAAATGCAAAGCAACAGAAAGAACGGAGGAGGAGAGACAGAGAGCACGACCTTCTATCCACTGGTTCACTCCGCAGATGGCTGCAGCGGCCAGGGCTGAGCCAAGGCTGTGCCAGGTCTGGAAGCCAAGAGCTGGGAACTTCTTCCTGGGACCCAGGACGTGAGCCATCATCTGCTGCCTCCCAGGGCGCACATTAGCAGGAAGCTGCGAGTACACATTAGCAGGAAGCTGCGAGTACACTTGATCCAGGCACACTGATATGGATGATAAGAAATAGTTGGTCTGTCTCCTCAAACCCTGGGAACTTCCTGAGTGACAGGAGTGACTTTTGATATTTACAATGCCCAAAGTCTATGCTAACGAGGTGATCAAGGTGGGGCGCCTGGACAGCCTCCAGATGGGGACAAAGACCAGCAAGTGCCTAAAGGATCTGACAGTCTGCCTCCCTCTACCAACCTCCGATCAGGGGCCGGGCCAGGGCTGGAGGTCAGGCTCTGTAGAAACTCTCGACACACAAGGTTTGGAGAGCTTTGGAGTTGTCAAGTGCACCGTGTCCTGGTGTGTTTGGGGTGGAGGGTGCTCCCCAACTCCACCAGGACAGAAGCTCCTGTGCCCAGGACCCTTCTAGATCTTGCCCTTGGTGCCTCCTTGACTAATTGTTCATCTGTATCCTCTGCTGCCTTCCCAGGCTTATTAGCAGGAAGCTAGATGGGAAGCAGAGCAGCTGCGTCTGGAACTAGCAGTGTGATATGGGCACCGGCACTGTTGCAGGCAAGTGACTTAACCCACTCCATCCCAAAGCTGGCCCCTGGACCAGACACTTTAACGTCACTCTTCCAATCACCTTTATTTTCTAAATTCAGCTCCATCCTCACAGTTTATCTCCCAAAACACTCTTGACGGCATCACCAGTCCTGTGTGTGCCTTCAGGAAGTCTGCGGCATAAGCAAAGGGGAAAAAGTGAATGAGTTACTCATCTCATCAACGGCAGGTTCCCAGGGACCATAGGGTTAACGTCACATGACGTCAGGGTGGTGACACGGCACATCCATGATGATCGAGATCAGTGATCTGTCAAAGGACAAAAGGACAGCTTAGTGTAAAGACTGCACTTGGCTTGATTTTCAGTTCCACAACTGTGCAACTCTTCATTCTATAAGGGGAAAGCGTCTTTGATGAGCTGAGCAGAAGGGGTTGACCTCACAGACAGAGAAGGGCTTGAAGAAAGCAGAAATAAAAAATAAAAATATAAATAAATAAATAAATAGAAAGCAGATGGGCTATCTCAAAGTCACTGTCCATGTGAGGTGGGGACAGGGAACCTGAGTAACAGGAAAACAACAGATGAGTTAACAGCAGTTATTCCGGGCCAATTCTTTCGTACGAGCAGAGGGAATTTTATTATCATGCCCACTGAAACTTGGGAAATTTGAATATTCTCTAATCCTAACTTCTCAAAAGTCCAGATAAGTAGTTTAATTTCCGATTGGTGACATGAACCTTTGGCATGACTCCATTCTGATTTTTAGTCGATTCTGCTGGTACCCAGACAGACCCAGAGCTTCGGTCTGAAGCAGTGGTTTCCTGTACTCTCAACAGAACTCCTGGGAAATCAATGTTCTCATGAATCATGAGCTGGCACAAATTACCCAGTGCAAACCCTCACTGCAGGGCATTAATTAGTCCTGGCTCCCAGAATTCAACCCCCCTTTCCTCTCTCCAGACATTTCCAGGTGGGGCGAAATGATGACTTGAATTTATGCACCCATCCAAAGCATTAAGAAACTGGAAGTCTAGGTTTTCGTACTTAAAGTGGTTTGGCTTTGACCAAAAATATCCACAAATAAACGTACGACTTCCAGCAATGCTGCTGCTGATGTTTCTACCAATGCTTGCTTCCAGAATTTCTAGCAGCCAACACTATGATTTTAATCAAAATGTTTCACTACAATTGTTCGGCATCCTACAGAGAAAGTTTATCTCTTGGACACAGTTTGGCAAAAGGATAACAATGAACTCAGACGCCAGCTGACACTGTTGCTGTAGTCACTCCTGCCAGCTCGTGTGATTTGCCCACACCCGCATCTCCTTTACGTCATGTGTGAACCCCAATCAAAGCCTCCCGTGGAGGTGTTTGGCAGCCTGAAGACAGAGCTAATCCCCTTATAAATAGTTGTTCTTCTAAATTGCCACAAATTGAGCGGATTATAACACAATAGAGCTATAAAAGTTAGTGCCACCATAATAAATGTCAACCATTCTTCTCTTGTGATTATTTCATCTTGTTCAGTCAATCATGGAAATTACACCAAATAAACAAAACCATGGATGAAACAGGAAGGGAATGCAAGAGACAGTGCTACAGTGAAAAACTTCACGGGCTCTACTTCTGGGGATCTTCCGAATCACTGGGCCATACTCACATTCCTGTTTCCCAAGCTCACTCGTGGACATTGCCATGCCTGGTCCTCGCAGCCACCATCGAAGGGAGCAGCAGCCCAGCAGTGGCAGAAGCGTAGCCACGGCAGGAAACTTGAGATGGAGTCCAGATTCTCCCACGACTACCTTGCTATCCAAGAAGGTAGTTTTGTCCACCTGCATCTCAATTTCCCGACCTGTACCACGTGGGTGAGGCAGCTACCTTCACTTGCTGGAAAGATTAAATGAAATACACACAGGAGCACATTCAGGGATGGGTGTTTGGTACACCAGTTAAGACTCTACCTGGGGGGCCGGCGCCGGTGGCTCAGTTGGTTAATCCTCTGCCTGCGGCGCCCGCATCCCATATGGGTGCCAGGTTCTAGTCCTGGTTGCTCCTCTTCCAGTCCAGTGGAGGATGGCCCAAGTGCTTGGGCCCCTGCACCTGCATGTGGGAGACTAGGAGCCAAGTACATGGCTCCTGGCTTTGGATTGGTGCAGCGTGCCAGCCGTAGCAGCCATTTTGGGGGTGAACCAATGGAAGGAAGACCTTTCTCTCTGTCTCTCTCTCTCTCTCGCTGTCTAACTCTGCCTGTCAAATTAAAAAAAAAAAAAAAAAAAGACTCTGTTTGGGACTCCCACATCCCCTACTGGAGTACCTGGGTGAATCCTGTCTCTGCTGCTTCTGATTCAGCTTCCTGCAAATGCACCCTCTGGGAGGCAGCAGACGGTTCAAGTACTCGAGTCCCTGAAGATCCAAACTGAATTGCAGGCTCCTGGTTCCAGCCTAGCCTCGTCCTGCCTGTTGTGGGCATTTGGGGAGTGAATCAAAGGATGAAAGATCTCTCTCTCTTTCCCTCTCTCTCTCTCTCTCTCTCTCTCTGCCTTTAAAAAAAGGGGGAGGGGGACGAGGTGGAAAATAAATAAATAAAATCATAAAGTCCAATAAAGGAGCTAGAATATCCCGGTGAACATGCCATAGAGGGAAGCTCAGGTGCAAAGGCCTTTGTGGTGGAAGGAGGCTGGCAAACTTGAGAGACTAAAACAAGGGCACAGTGGTAAAAACACAGAAAATAAAGGAGAGCTGGCTCAGAATGAATCAAAGAGGAAAACAGGGTGCAAAAGTTGCCAGGCCAGATAAACCAAGAGAAAGACATATAAATGTTATCCTAAGCATGAAGTCATTTGAAGAGATTTCGGGGGGGAGGGGGGCAGCGACAGGATGAACCGTGTATTTTATACGAAGCTTCTCCTCTGCAGAGAAGGGCGAGTGATTCGTGCATCTGCAGTTACTGAGTTAGCGTATTTGTTTACACAAGAGGCACGAGGAACTTGGGCCAGCGTGGTGGTGCTGAAGATGTTGGTAAAAAGATTCCAGAGATGCTTGAATGATTAAAAAAAAAAAAAAAAAAGATACACTGGAGCTTGATGATGGGGCTAACCAGAGGAAGGGAAGGCAAGCGTCCACTGTGCCTGGACGAGGTGGCATCGTGCACCCGGGCAGGGAAGCCAGAGAAGAACCAGCGAGAGGAGGGATGGGTTATGCGTTTCATCCTAAACATAGAGACTTGACGCCTTTAAACGTCCTCCATGGGAGGGAAGAGAGCTATTCAGTGCAGAGCAGAGAACTGAACTGGAGGGGACATCGGGGTTTTATCAGAACACAACAGAAGCGCTGCAGACAGACGTCGGAACCTGTGAGACCGGCCCAGGAAAAGGAAACACGGGCGGGCAGGTGGCCCTAGGACCCAGCCTTTAGGAACTCCAAAGGCTAGCACGAGAGGGAAGCGACCTGAGGAAGAACACGGCCTGCCGCCGGCCGGGGAGAAAGGAGAAAGGCGGGGGGGGGGGGGGGGGGGGGCTCCACATCAGGAGGAGCGGGGAGAGTTCCGGGTCCCCCGTGTGTGGCTCTGGGGGACCGCGGGTAAACTGAGGACCTCTGGCTTCCGGCAGGACAGCGCCCTGAGCGAGCCTTAGCACAGACTGGAGAGACAGCAAGTACCGGCGCTTCCTCTAAAGACGCGAACAGGAGAGATTCGCACGAACAAGCTCTTCCTGTGGGTCTGACACCACCCTTCGAGCTTACTTTTCATTTTCTATTAACAAAATGTTGACGGATATTAATACTGCCAAATTCAGTGTTCCGGTGTTTCGGAGGGGCAGGTGCTTGCCCCAGCAGCTCAGACACCACTTAGGATGCCCACATCCCATACTAAAAGGCCTGGATGCCAATTCCGGCCAATTCCAGCTTCCCCTTAATCTGCAACCTGAGAGAGGGGATGGCTCAAGTACTTGGGACCCTGCCACCCACATGGGAAACGGGGACTGAATTCTTGGCTACTGAGCCAACAAATGGGAGGTGTCTCTCTCCCTCTCTCTTTCTGCCTTCCAAACAAATTAAATAAAATTTAAATCAAAAGGAATAGTAAATAAGGGCTTTTCTTCAGGAAAACCTGCCTTCGCTGGACTGCAACAGGTTCAGCATTGCCACCTGACACTAGGAATGCCTCCCCCAGGTGCCACAGGCACATGAAAACTCAGTGTTCCTGGGGCTGGCAACGTGGGATAGTGGCTTAAGCCACCGTCTGCAGTGCCAGCCCCCACACAGGCACCACTTCGTGCTGCTCTTCTGACCCACTCCCAGTTAATAAGCCCTGTGCTGGGGCCCATTTATACTGCTGACAACTACAGATTATTCAGTAACACCTCGCAGCACAGCAGAAGTAGACAGCACGGAGCGCTAACATAACAAAGTCCTTGTCGGACATAAACTCACTGTTGTTATGTCTGAGAAAGGGGTGGGCCTGGGAGTTTGCGGGGCGGATGGCTGAATGTGCAGGCTGGCCAAGTGCAGACAGACAGCAGCGTATGGCAAGGGCGCCCGAGACACAATGTGGGATTACTGCTCCAAACTCAACGCTTGACCTCAACTGCGACTTTATGAAGCAGCAACAATGACGTAAAACTGGTCTTATCATACTTGTACTGTCAGCAAAACCTACAGATAAAATAAAAGGGTTTTTTTAAGTAATTAATTAATTGGAAAGAGTTATAGAGAGAGGGAGAGACAGAAAGATTTTCCATCCTCTGGTTCACTCCCCAGATGGCCACAACAGCCAGGGCTGGGCCAGGCTGAAGCCAGGAGCCAGGAGCTTCATCCAGGTGCCCCACATGGGTGCAGGGGCCCAGATCCTTGGGCCATCTTCTGCTGCTTTCCCAGGCCATCAAGAGGGAGCTGGACTGGAAGCAGAACAGCTCAGACTCAAACCCGGCATTGCAGGCAGGGGTTTCATCTGCTATGCTCCAATGCTAACCCTTAAAATCGTAGTTTTACAACCAGCCAAAGCTTGGGTTTATCATGTCGCTCTCACTAGTGAGGAACTAACAGACACACAGCCATGTGCTAGGAACACCACATTTTCTGTTCAACGACTGATCACCATCTGCCAGGACAGGGTAAGGAGGTGAGAGCCCGCTGAGGTGCCTGAGAAGTCAAACACTTGAGGTCTAGGGGCGGCGCTGGTCAAGAAGTGGATGAGCCCAGGAGAAACGCAGTACCCCAGGTGCAGACAATGGGGCACCTCAACCACCCTGAGAGGGCCGAGAAGGGAGTGGTCACTGGAGTCTGGCACTAGGAAAGGCTGTTGGAGTCAAGATGACCCTACAGGAGCCCTGCACCTTCTGTGGAGGGGCGTGGCCATGCTGAAGCCACACCCACACCTCTCTTCCCACTCCTCTCCAGCAGGCATCGCCAATCACCCAAACCCAACCTACAGGCAGGGGGCAGGGGCGTCCTGGGGTACAGGGTAGACGGGGCAGGCATGCAGGAGATCTGAGGGGCAGATGGAAAGTCTTCCCCCTAAGTGGGAAGACAGGGTCTTCAACAGCCTCTAGTTTTGCCTCATTTTTGTTTCATCAATATCTCCCTAGACAACAGGATCAGCTTGGTTCCCTCTCTAGCAAGAACAGCTCTAACCTAAGACATTAATCCCTCAGCACGCCTGGGTAACATAATGCCTGGGCCCCCCACCTCCTGCCTAAACACATACACACAATCAAAAATTTCCACTTAAACCCCAGGAGATGCTTACTCTCACCCCACGGAAAACACCCGTTGTTGAGCGGCGGCACTCTCCAAAGAGAGTAACTAAAGCTCTTGGTTTGTTCCCTGTACACGCCAGGTGAGCAATGCACCTACTCTGGAGCGATGACAGCTTTTTGGCTGCCGTGAGCCCTGGAAATATCGATCAGAGAAAAATCCTCGGACGCTTGCATCTCCTGAATCTGCTTACTGCAGCCCTTCGTCCTGGCCGGCCGGGAGAGCACCAGCCTTTTTGTTATCATGATAAATTACCCTCCCTTGTAGGTCACCCTTTTCTACCTAAAGTCACAATTTGCTCCTTGCTTCAGGTCACAACCTGATTTTTCAGGGTGACAGATTTATTGCTTGCTATGTGCTCCAAAAAACAAATCGCCAACATTGCTCAAATACCGTCCTGTCACAATAACGTTGGGCGTTTTCCAGGGGGAGTGCCATCCACACTAACTGCATTTCCACATTTCTCTGCACCCCTAGGCTGCCAGCTGAAGCAACGGAGAAGCAGCTGTCTGCCGGCCTCCTCTTGGGCTGGGGGCTGGGGGGTGCGGGGGGGGGGGGGGAGAATCTTTTGTTTTTTTGCAGGAGGTTCAGAAAGCTGAATCTTTATGCAGCCCAGCCCGCTACGATGTCTCCCCAGTCAGCGACCTGTTCCTTCTTCAGTTCCCCCAGAGAACTACACCTTCCCAATAGGGGCACTAGGATCACCAAGAAAAAAAAAAAAAACCTTTAGCCTCTTTCCCTGTCTTGACTGATCCATCTGAAAAGTTATCACATCTCCCAAATACGCCTCAGACCCACCAGGGTGAGGTATCCTCCAACAACAGAAAACCATTCAATGGTTTCCAAAAACAGTAAAATATATTAATTTTTAAAATCACTAATAAAAATAGAGTGAAAACTAAGTGCATGATTTATCGAGAAGGAACCTCAACAACATAGAAAAAGTCACAAATAAGTATATATTGCAGGATCCTGCTTACACAGAACATGGAAACACTAATTATAATATGAAACAATAATTCTCTTGTCAGAAATGACAGTCTATAGCAGGCTGTTTGAGAAGGTTAAATATAGTCATTGACAAAGGATAGCATTACAATAATCCAAAGAGCTTAATTGGCTTCCTTTTTAAC